CAGGGGTCTTCTTCTTTGAATCGTTTTATTTAATCCCCTTATTAACAAAAAAGCTTGCTTCTAATTGTTGCCTCCTATAAATAGTTGATTGACGCTAAGTTTTGCTTTCGTAGAATCAACGAATTGCCGCGTGTGACGCATTGTCGCTGTACCAATTGCTGCATACCAAAACACGCAATTTTGTCCGAAGAGCAAAACAACACCAAAACAGTTAACGCTGCATTCGCACCAATGTGTTGCGAGCCTGCCAACAGAGTGGTGTACTCTAAATGAAACTTAGAGCCGGCTATCTCACCGCGGCCTTTAAGCCGACTCTCGGATTTGGAGCCTAAGACCACTACTTGCCGAAGCCGGAGAAAAAATGGCGGGATTTTGCTGTAGTTTACTCATTTTTCAAAATATTTGTCTAAAATTAACACTTTGCGTAAAATATCTCACCTAATAAAAACAATATCATTCTCAACAACCCTTTAACAAGGCCTGTTTTAGTTTTCTTGGGCTGTTTTTTCTCCTCGTATTTGGTTTAAATGAACCAAAATTAGTTTCAGTTTGATGTCTTGTCTTTTTTAGTTTAGCTGTTTAGATGTAGTACCGGTGTAGTTTCTTCGTGATGATTGCATTGAGAGAGCGTTTAAACAGTGTTCGATCTTCAGTTTGCCTTCGTTAGAGAAAGACTTAGAAGTCTTTTTTAGTTTTGACGGATCAAGTCTCAGATGTTGAGAATGAAAGTTATCGACAAACCAAGGAACAAAAAACATAGTTTTTTTTTGTTGCAACTGTCGTGATCGAATATCTAAACTAGTTTGTATTGTCAACGCCAAAAAACTTTCGACTAAACTTTGAAATGTTTCATTGAACTTCTTAAAATTATGAGCTTCGCAGTAAAAGATTTATCACAGACGCTGCTTTAAAAACTGTTTCACAGTTTTTGAAAACTAAATGAGCATTCTTTTCAGCAAAAAAATGACGTATTCAGAAAAAGTTGGAACGCTTTGACTAAGAATTGCGTGCGTTTTTTTCTACGTGCGTTACCCTAAACACAGTAAAACTTGACCCACAATTTGTGCTGTGGACGAATATAGGACTCTGTTTCGATTTTTCTTCATTTACATTTAGATTTTTGTCAATAGATTGTCTGTTTGGCTTAATAATTGAAAGATAGTTTTTCCGATAAAGAGTTAGTTTTATTTCTTACAATTAGTTTTTTCACTGTCCTTTTGTTTATACGTACCTTTCGTTCCAAATTTTGAAGAAAGTAACGACATGCTTGTGCTCAAAGCATTTTTCTCCAGGCCAATTTCGAATTGTTAACTGGTCATTTTCTACCAAAATTTTTGTTTCTTCTTAATCTTATTGGTGCCTTGAGCTCATGTTTAGGACGATACAGTGCTGTTTTAAATTATCCGGACAAAACGAACAAAACTTGAATTTTCAAACGCCTTTTTCTCAAATTGGGTTAAGATTAGACAAAAAAGGAAGAAAACAAAAGTTGCTTAGAATTTCACCAGAATCAATATGGTGCCATTTTTTCTCCGAAGTTCTAAACAAAATTTTCACCCCCAAAAGTGGGTCATTTTGGCGTTTTCAATTAATCAAGAATTACGCTGAAACTACTTTGTTAATTGATAAGAAAATTATACCGCAGAAAGCCTCTTACGCAGCTCAACAAAGTTTAAGAAAGGTTAAATCTCCAAAAACCAGTATAAGAAAAAAACATTTCATTTGCTAGTCAATAAATGTGATTTTTACTATATAAAACCGAGAATCTCTGTTTAAAAATAAATTTTAAACAATTTGCGCAAATTTTTGGAGATTTAACCCTTCTTAAACTTTGCTGAGCTGCGTAAGAGGCTTCCTGTGATATAATTTTCATATCAATTAACAAAGTAGTTTCAGCGTAATTATTGATTAATTGAAAAAAGCCAAAATGACCCATTTTTGGGGTAAAAGTTTTGTTGAGAATTGTGGAGAAAAAATGGCACCATATAAATTCTGGTGAAGTTCTAAGCAACTTTTGTCCTCTTCACTTTTTGTCTAATCTTAACCCAATTTAAGAAAAACGCGTTTGAAAATTCAAGTTTTGTTCGTTTCGTCCGGATAATGTAAATCAGCACTGTATTATTGTGCGATATACTTCTTACTGTTAACGCGTAAGCGGCGATTCAATCCAGCTCAATAATTCGATTACAAATTTTTGTTCCGATTTTCGAAGAAAACGGAATTTTTATGCGTGGTGTGGTTTTTTTTATTCAGTCAATTTTCGCCGATCAAAATAATGGTTTTCAACAAAAAAAATTTATACCCCATTAAAGATATCGACTTCTTGAATTCAAATTTTTTTCCTCCGGTTACTTTTTGCAAAATTCTAAGGGTTTGAAAGTTGTCAAACTGGCCATGTTCTGGACTAAATTATGAGCGCTTTCAAGAATGTATTCATAATACTGAGAGCGTAACGCGAACTATTTATGCGTGGCGAATTTATTCCGGACCATAAAATTGTTTAAATTGAATTGGGGCTAGATAATTGGTCGTATTAATTTCGTATGAATCAAACTTTCACACTCTGATCTCGTCCAAAGTTTATAGGGTTTCAATTTTTTCTTTTAGCAAAAACTATTTGAAATGAATTAAGGGAAAGTTGAAACATTCTCTGAGTTGATATACGAGCAGTCTTGTATTCAATCTCACCGTTTTTGGTTTCTGTCCCTTCGGGGGCTACTCTCATGCGCGAAGGACCGAATGGGTAAAAAAACTCGTGGACGGAGAACCGAAAAAAAAATTAGCCGAAAGTCAATTTTAAAAGGGAGCAATTGCTATTATTAAAATGAATTACATGAAGCAAAATTTTGCTTCTTTTATAACGAAACCCATAAAATATAAAATGTGTTCCAATTTGGCGGCGGTCAGTGACAATTTGAAAGTTTTCCATATTTCTGCCGTTTTTATTTTTGGTGAATATCAATATTCAGTCCCTCGAAAAGTTTATTTTCTTTCCAAATTTCAGATTTCTGAAATATGATTAGCTGATTTTTTATTTTCGCGCATTCGGTCCTTCGCGTATGTGGGATTCCACTTGTCCCTTCAAACAAGCTATCCAACTTCTCCGCAATCTTGGCTGGCCAATGAATATTTGTATCACTTCTTCTTCTTTTTTTTTCAAGTTTCAAGTTGTTGTGCTCGATGAAGTTATTCTCAAGATAAATTTCGAAGTAATTTTCATTTTTTAATAGACTTATATAAATTATCTGAAAAGTAGTGACGCCTTGAACTTAAATTCAAAAAAATTTTAGTTGAGCCAAACTGATCAACATGAAACAACGAGTCTTTTCTGTGATACGGCCCGAAAAAGTCAAATTGCAAAATGAGCCTCTGTTGTTAGTAAAATTTAAAAAAAAAACTGAATTGAATTGAACTTAAGCTATCATATTCGAGCATTTTTATTCAGTTTTTAAATAACAAAAACAAACAAATCGTCCGTAAAAGAGAAAAAACCCAAAACAACTAACGCGCTATAAACTAGTCCAACTAACACGTAAGTGGCAAGATAATTTGTATTGAGGCAAGCTGTTTTGTCTTAGAGGAACGGTACTAGATGGAAAATACAACACTCCAGTTACGTAGGAGTATTTAGAAAACCGCGTATTCAGACTCGTCAGTAAGTAGACAAATACTGTATTAACCAATCAGAATCGAGACAAGGAAGAAATGAACATTTAATGATTATTTATTTCGAAAATTTGCTTTCTCGATTCTGATTGGTTAATATGGTAATTGTCTGCTTACTGATGAGTATGAATAGGAATGAATACAAGTATTTGTTGTCTAAATACATACCGCTTTTTTTACAATCGACGAATCACACTTTCCAAGCTCTCTCATAACCTTATAAATAACCTACTTTGATTTCTGCGCCCTTCTTTTAATAGGTGAATTTTTGAAGGAATGGACAAAACGTTTTTAGGCATTTTTGGAAGGTTTTAGAGTCCCCCCTCAAAATTAGTATATATTGACGGCCCTCAGTTTTTTGTACCTTTGAAAACAAGCATTTACAAAGTTCATTCTCAGTGTTTGATTTACTTAAGTTTTGATCCATCGCCAAAACTTTCGGATCCGGCAGAGAAAATTTTGACAAAATAAGGCCTCTTCAGAGTTTTGGGAGAGCACGGAAAAGTTGGTCGAACAATTAAAAATGTATGACCTTTTTTTCGGGAAACCAGTCCCGTAAATAAATTCCTGCAAATGCCATTGCATCAATTTTTACGTACACACAGGGGCGGATTTAGGGGAGGGGGAAAGCGGACGTCTGCCACTAAACCCCCCCCCCTCAGTGATTCGACCACTTACGGACCCAAAGGGTCCCCCTTTGTACTTTTTTGAGGTATCCATTTTTAGAGGCGGACATTAAAATTTTTCTAAGGGAGTCTTCGGCGCCAATATATACTAACTTTCAGGGAGCAGTTTTTCCGCCCCCCCCCCCTCGAGAGAATCCTAGATCCGCCCCTGCCTACATACATAATGTGTGGATGGAAGATGTTCAAAAAAATCTGACATAAAATTTTCAAACTACTCCTTTTTTTTGGAAATTTGCAAAGTGTAGTCGAAGCGCTCAAGGCTTCGCCTTGATACGAACAAAATTGCTTCATTTTGAAATCCAAAACGGTTTCAAATTGATGAGTGAAACATCAAAATATTGTCGGTTTGCTTTTGTTCTTTCAAAACAGCGACGTTGCAACCTTAATTTTGTTTTTTGTTGTTAACATTTTGATAAAGTCGTCGATTAATTAGTTTCTGGCAGACTTGTAAGCCATAAAATCAATAGAGATAACCTTAAATAAATATGCGTTAAAGCAAGTGTCTGTGTAAATAAACTCGGTATCTTGTTTGCACGAAAACCAAAATTTTGGTTTTTCTGAAAAGAGTTAGTCTTTTTTGAAGCAAAATGCAACATTTCACAGCCTTGGCTAACTTCACGAATATTCTGTTTTCGTTATTTTTTCGGTTACAAGAAGAAAACAGTGGAAGCAACATGATGATTTCACCAGCAAGTGTATTCGTAGCTATGTGCATGGTAAGTGAAGGTGCTCAAAACACCACAAAAAGCGAAATTTTGAGAGCTCTTCAGTTCGAAGACTCCAACGATGTATGCAAGGAAGCCAAGCGCCTCGTGACTTTCATTCAAGGAGAAAGTCAGTCAAAATTTGAGCTTTCTTTGAGTAACGGTGTTTTCTTGAACAAAAGAATTCGCATCTTGAAAAAATTTCAAAACAAGCTGATGCGAAAGTATAGTGCAACTGTTGAAAATGTAGGATTTGGAACCGAAGCAGGAGAAAAAATTGTAAACGATTGGATATCAGACGAAACAAACGGGAAAATAACAGACCTGATAAAGGATACTGATGAACAACTTACTGTGATGATTATTGTAAATGCAATTTACATGAATGGCTCTTGGAAAGAATGTTTCGCCAAATCGCGTTCTGAGCGAGGTCTGTTTTTCAGTCGATTGGCCGGCGAAAAAAATGTGACTTTCATGAACAGGCGTGTCGATACGAAGTTAGCTTTCGCGCAAGCTCGCAATCAGAAGAAGTTCACGGCCGCTTTTCTGAAATATCAGGCTGATGATTGGATGATGTCTATTATTCTTCCAGCTGACCGCGGAAACCCTGCGGATTATTTGGAACCAGTTTCTGATGAAATCTTTCAAATTTACCACCGGTCCTCTGAGGTTTATACAGACCTATGGATTCCTAAATTCAAAGTCGAAACGTCTATCGATATCATGCCACTTCTAAAAGACCTTGGAATCAAACAGGCGTTTGATCCGAGCGCAAACTTCTTTGGGGCTAGTAAAGAACCAACTTTTATCAGCAAAGCGAGGCAAAAATCCTATTTGGAGGTTTCTGAAGAGGGCACAGAAGCCGCAGCGGCTACATATTCAACGGAAATTCGTATGTCATCAATGAAAATCGAATCTTTACGTACTCGTGTAATTGTTGACTCGCCGTTTCTGGTATCCATCATCAACACTAAAACTAAACTAATTCTGTTCGCAGGAGTAGTTTGGGATCCATCTGTGTGAAATAGTTTTCGTACAGCAGTTGTAATTATTTGGTCATGTTATCAGTTTACAGCAGTTTCATTATATTCAAAAAAGACATATACTAGATTTTCGATGTCGGAAAATGGAATTCATTTTTTTTTGCTTCAGCAAAGTACTAATGGCGGTAGAGATAACAGATGGTGGCTATTATCAATAGAGGTAGATAACAGAACAAACCAAAACAGGAAAACTCTTAAAAAAACGCACCTCGAAAAAAAACTAATCCAAAATTAAACAACTTGCAAAACGCGATATCCTGCAATAAAGTTTTAAGGTTGTCCTTTAATCGTTTATGAAATAAGACTTGTCATTTACCTCCAAATAACCGTTGTTTTTATTATTCACTCAAATTGTTTTTTGTTTGAGGAGAGATATGAGTGTTTTCATTCTTTTAACATCTAAAAAAGAACTCAAAACATTGACTATAAAAATTTGATTACAAACATTGATTACAAAACATTGATTACGAGTCGTCTTGTTGATTTTGAATATTTTCTTACTCGTCTGAATAACGGCGAAATTCAGTTAAAATCAGGACGGAAAACGAATCTTGACATTTGTTTTGAAAAAAAATTAAGGAATTTCAATTTAAAAAAGAAAGCGAGATAAAAATTTACAGATGCTCTTAAAGAACTTGCAAATCACAGGTGTTTAGAAAAATTATAAAATTATTTGGGGATAAAGTAAAGTTCTTTGGACGTAAGTTTTCGCAATTTTCTATTTGAATTTTATGCAAAATTGGCTCAAAATGTTGAAAAAGCAAGACCGCTAAACAAACATAGCAGCTAAAATAGTGGACTTTGCTCGCAAAAATGATTTGTGTCAGGAAATTTCAAAAATACTCCTAACCATTTGCAATATCTGTTTGAAGAAAAACCCATTTTCCAAAAATATTTAAGTGTCATGGCCATGGAAGTTAGAACGAGCGCTTGTTAATTTTTTTGTTAAATTGTAACGAGTATCGTTTTTGAAGAGTGGACAGCAAACCTGTCTAATATTACTGCAGCTTCAAGAACAATCCAATTTGAAAGAGTTCTCAAATTTGTGCCAAAGACCGTGTGGAACATTGCAATTCTCATCAATTTTCAAAACACCCTAAAGGGGACTCTTAGCTCATGACTCTGTGCCGTCGGATTGCAACGGAATTATTGTATTCACCATTGAAGCAAAATTTGTCATTCTTGAGCAATACATAACTAGGTATGCTGATGGCATTTTTAAATTGTTTGCCTCATTATTTCATCAAATAAATACTCCGCATGCTGTTTTAAGCAACTGCTGCCTCCCAATAATTTGCTACATGGACTCAGCTCAAAAATGCTATAGTTTTGAAAAAAAAACCATTCGTTTAAGGGATGGCATAAACCATATCAAATAGAAATGAGTCATACTCACTCCACTTTATAAAATTCACTCAGCAAATAAGGAAGGAACAAAAACTGAACCAAAAACTACCAGATTTGGTTCAAATCCAGATACAAGCCACATTAATGCCCAAAATAAGACGATTGAATTGAAAAGTATCAGAAACTCTTAAAAACTACCAAAATCATGATCTAATGTTGCAGCTGGAAGCTCTTTCGAATAACTTTCACATGAAAGACCCTTTTATATAGAAATATTTCTGACGCCTGACATAGTTTTTATTTCTCATTGAGATTAAGAGACTAGAAAAAAAATGAATGTTTTACAGCTTTTGTTTCACACTGAGATTAAAAAATTATGTAAATTTCATTCAAATTTTATCCAAGTTGCCTTTTGGAGAAGTTTACGGTTGCCATTTTTGCAATTTCTTTTTGCCAGTTGACGTAGTACCCAATAAAAAACCTATGTCGCTTTTGCCATTTTTAAACATGCCCAACTTAGCAAAACTGAGGAGCGACCTGTAATTTGCAAAATATTTTGAGCTTGTAATTAAATTTTGGATGGCTTAAAAATCAAAAATTGAGCAATTTTCATGATTTGATTTTCGAGCTCACAACTTTTATAAAGCATTGGGTTGGTAACCAATTCATATAGTTAATAAAAGGAATCTTCAGAATTATGGGATAGGAAGCTTGCTCGCCATACTTCGCATCATTTTCGTCTAGAGCGATGGATGTTTTAGAGCAAAACGTTTAGTGATGCAAAGATCTAGAACAAATAAAAAAGGGGTTTGATGAATTATCTAACTGAGCAGTTTGTTTATGATGAAAAGTATTTTTCCATGCCACCGAGTACAAAATTATAATCTCTAGTTCACCATTGTAATTTCAGCATTGTAATAATTATTCCAGTTCAGCATTGAACTAATTATAAAAATTTTGAATGATTTCAAAATATGGCTAACATTTAGAAAATTTTTCATATATTTTTAGGGAACCAGCCATTATATACTTAGCGATATTTTGTTTTTGTTCCGAGTTTCGAAACGAAAGTAACGGAATATTTGTGCTCGGGTGGGTTTTTTTTCTTCAGACAAATTTCGACTTTTTTAACTAGCCAATTTTGACGGAAATTTTTTTATCATTCGAAAGGTATTGTTGTCCTGAGCTCAAATTCGAAATTATATTTCACCTGTGAACCTTTTTTGTAACATTACGGGGATTTAAAGATTACCATTGTGGCTAATTTGCGACAATTAATGCGCGATATATTTCGCGCTATTAACGCGTAAGCGGAGAATTAATCCGTCTCAGAAATCATTCCAAATCTGTTGAAAGAAGATTATTTGCCATAATTGATTTGTTACAAGGAGCGAAGTCTATCCTTTTGAACTTTATATGGCGTGTGGGGTATGATTTTCATAAAAAATTTCAAATTTGTTATTACTGCTTCATAAACATTAAAAGGCAATCGGAAAGTTCAGGGCTTAAGCAGTAAATTAAGCAGTCTTGTACGAAAGTTTGGAAACAATTATGCAACACTTGCAAACTTCTTAGGAATTTAACTCAAACTAGCATGTAACGCACCTCAGGTTCTTCGAAGTTATGACAACTCATAAAAACGGCATATATTGGAAATATTATTTGCATCCTTTGAGTGTACTCTGACATAACCCAAGTATTACACAGTGTTGGCAATTTCAAATTTTGTAAAATTAGTCAAGTTTTTTTATAATTCAAATTTTGAAAAACCATGCAATTTTGTGATTTTTTATATCAGTTCATTGAACATTTTTAAAATGACAATAAAACGTCACATCTCGAAAACTAAAAGCAATTGAACAGTCGCATTTGAACGCAAGATTTGCAACTTCTGAGAGTACTCACAATAGTCAAATACAGTGCCTTATCCCGAAAAACTACAAAAAACTGAGCACTCATATTTGGGTGCACGATTCGCAATCCCTGAGAGTACTCTGACAGCCCCCAACTTCAGGACTAGGAATTCCGCAAATTTTGAAAAAATTTAGGTTTTCTGAAATTTTTTTTTGAAAAAATCATATAAAAATTTTATATCTCAAAAACTACAAGGATATAAGGAGTCATACTTAAAGGAAAAACTCACAACCCCTGGGAGTGTCTTGATAAAACATCAGATGGGATCATAAGAAAATTTTTAAATCTAAGTTCTTTGAACAATTAAGAAAAACACTAAAAACGTCACATCTCGGAAACAAAAAGCATTAGAGCAGTCAAATTTGGAAGCAACACTGCAACATGACACTCCTGAGAGTACCCTCACAGTACCCAACTACAAATTTGAGAATTTCAAATCCTTTGAATTTTTTTAAATCCAAGTTTTCTGAAAAATTAAAAAGAAATCATAAAAATCTCATATCACAAAAACAACAAGGATTGGAGCAGTCATATTTGGAGGCGAGATACGCAATTCCAGAGAGTACTCTGACAGCCCCATTACATAAATAGGAATTTCTAATTTTGAAAAAAAATTAAGTACAAGTTTTCTGAAATTTTTTTCGAAAAAACCACAAAAAACGTCATATCTTGAAAAGTACAAGGATTTGAGCAGTCACATTTGGAGGAAAAAATTGCAAGTCCCGGTAGTAGCCTGGCAGAGCCTCACTATAGAGATGAGAACTTCAAATTTTGTGAATTTTTCTATATCTATATTCTTTGAAAGACTTAAGAAAAAAAATCCTGAAAACCGTCATATCTCCAAAACTACAAGGATTTGAGCAGTCATATTCAGAGGCAGGAGTCACGAGTCCTGAGAGTACCCTCGCAGTTTCCAATAACAGGATTGAGAACGTCACAAAGTTTTCTAAATTTTTAAAATCTTTTTTTTTTTGAAAATTTTTGAAAAAATCATAAAAAACGTCATATCTCGAAAAATACAAAGATTTGAGAAATGAGATTTGGAGGCAAGATTCGCAACCCCTGAGAGTACCCTGACAGCACCCAAGTACAGGGTTCAGAATTTCATATTTTGTGAAATTTTTTTCTAAGTTACTTTTTTTTAACCTTTTGAAAAATCTGGAAAATTGTCGTAAACTAAAAAGATCTGGCAACTCATATATGGGGCCACAATCGCAACACCTGGGGAGACCCTAACAGCATCCAAATATTGGGTTGCTAATTTCAAACTTGATAAAATAAACATTGAATTTGAACTGGAAAATCGAAAACAAAATCTTAACCATTGCAATATATGATATAGCTTAAACATGCAGAAATATTACGTTGAAAAAGCTTAACTATGGCGAGATAGTGAAACCCGCATTTAAATATATCATAGATTACGTACACTTAGACGAGAGTTTTGTCTGGTTCATAAACTCTGTTTAATCCTCGGCCGTTCTATACACCATTGACTTTTTCACACTCAATTTGCATCTGCCTGCCCGTTAAAAAGAGTTGTTCAATTATAGGGTTGTAAGCACAGACGAATCACAAATTCGAAAATTTAATTCAAACATAGGAAGAAAACAAAGACAATTCAAAGCTTTGACCAGCTCGTGCTGATTGAATGCGAACAAAAAATGTTTGAAAAATTGTGTTGATTGAAAACAAACTGAAATTAGTTTGAGCTTAAAC